GTAGATTTAGCAAACAAATGTAACAGTTAGCAAACCATTAAATGGAGAATAAGTGAATGCAAACCGGTTTCAGACCAAAACTAGACGCATAAGTCATTTCTTCTAAACTTTCAACCCCAATTTATGCTTAATAGAAGTGTTAAGATAAGTTTGAAGTCCGGCGCCAAGAGTCAAAAGCAGCCGAAAACAATAACGCACGGCGCTGCGAAACTTTTCGTGGCTAAAGTTGCCACATAATTTAGGGAATGAGACGAAGGAGAAACGTCTTAGAAGACCAAGATATTAAAGAGTATATTACTTCGTATTATGTATGAATTCTTGCAATTTGAAGAGCTCTTTTAAATAACACCACTGTGAAAAAGAAGAGATGTCAACGCACCTGGAAGAGGCCTTTTTATTGATTACATCAAAAAGCTTCTTCACCATGTCAGCAATCAGGTTAGAACCATTCTCTCCCGAAACCATAGTTGTTTTGGAAATATCTTTAAGTACGTAGCGAGCTACTCGCAAATAATTTCCGAATGACTTCGTGGTCGTGTCAAGTACAAGTGGTAATCGATGCCATATGAACAACCACAACTCTGCAAAAGTCGGTCACAATCTTGATGGATATATGAAGCTCTATATACATTAAACTGATACACAAACAATTACCTCTTGAAGGACCTGTGGCAGTGAGAGATGTCGCAGACATAAATTTAAGCAGTGTGCTAGTTAAATCATCTTCAATCCATTTTTGAGACTGAACGAAGGGGGCTTCAATAACGGTGATGAAGAATTTTAAGAAGTCGTTGAGATCACCATCCAGAATACCCTCTAAATCACTTGATTTGTGTACAAAAAGTAATTTCATAATCTCTACATCTGCCTTATTAGAATGAAAAGTTTGTTATGAGAGGTAACTTATAACTAACCACCGCATACTTTATTAAGTACATTTAGTGTTAACTCCAAGCTCCCTGTTTTCCAAGACGATGCTTTCTTTTTCATCTTTTGGTTGTTTTCTTCAACTTCCTAAATTGTAACACATATATGATTGAGTAGTTCAGACTAACCACAAATCTAAATGTAGATGTGAACACTGCTTGACAAAATCGATCTACGGAGTTTATCAGCGGTTACCTAACAAGATTTAAGAAAAAGCGATCGCTAGCAAGATCATGCAAGTTCTGACAACAAGGAAATTTGAAAGTGCTAGATTGATTCTTGACACTACGACATGTCAAACCAATCTTGAGATTAAAGCAGCATACACAATCATTAAATATTAGCCTCAGAACTCACGAGTAGAGCAAGCGAGCACAGATCCTTCACCAAAACATTCAAAGGATAAATATCAGTGGTGGAACCAGAGATATAAAAGTGCAGACAGTTCGACACGATGGTAGCAACATCCTTCTTGGCCGCCTGAGCTACATATGATTTGTAAATGAGTGTAATTGAAATTAAGACCATTCTAATACTCAATGTGTAACAAAGGTAACAACAAAGTAAGTGTGAGCGCGTGCAAGACACTGATGAAGATGATCACCAAACCTGCGATATGCTCGTTCACCTAGTAACAACTTACTTTGCACTCTACGCCAAGTTAGAAAATGTCAAACAGTGGCAAATGTTTAATGAAGTTTCAAAAAGGCCTTTATCACAACCATTGACTGCTGATGTGAACTCAACGTTTACTCAAACTTACTTGTGTGAGAGAATAGGAGTCAAAGTTTTTATGATTCGTTTTAGCTTTAACAGTTGATTTTGTATGGGAGGGAAGAAAGAGCCACATCTGATTTTGCATTTAATATTTGGGGATGTGATTTACGGATAATCATTATATCAAAAAAATAAGGTAAGTAGAATCAACAAATACAATTACAGATCGGAACCAAACCTCACGCTCTGCATTCTTTTTAAATTCCTTTCCAAGCAATCCTTTCACCAGTTTCGACAGTTGCGATAGACCGTTGAGAGCATGATCCTCAGACAGCTTGGACTCGACGCGAAACATCTCATCCTAGAGCTGTGACCGGTGATGATAAATCAGTTCTATGAGTAATACAATTAAAAGTTGTCGAATTAGAGGTTCGAACTGCATTTTCAATTCAATTCTTCGCGCGCTGTTCCAACGACGAGCTCGACGCGCAAATGCATACACGAATAAGAGGGGAGGCGGACGACTGGCGCGATTTTTCCCGGCTGTCACTATATACACATGCTAATAACACAATAAAAAGTTATTTCCGTAAGCTTTTGAGCTTTGAAAGAAAACAAGAAAAGAGTTCGAACAGTATATCAGCTAGATGACAGTTTATGGGCAATACGAAAGCTTATGAGCAATTATTGGTCAGCCACGGGCAAGAACTTCTCCAGATCCATTTCTTCAAAATTTTCTAACAGCTTCATATCTTTGAATGGTTCTCCTTTGTTATGATTCTGGACCAAGTAAACACCTGGTACGTTCTTTACTATGGAAGGTAATACAGGTTACAATCTGGAAACTCCATATAATATAGAGCCCACTGCGGATGTACCCTTAGTGACAGCCAAAGCTCAAAATTTTCATCCCGAAAAGGGGACGAAAGTAGCCTTTTGTGCTACATGGTTTCTTCAATTTCTATTCAGGGGAACCTCGTCAATGATGTTTCACCAGCTTCTTGATCTACACCTTGTTATTGAAGTGAAAAGTGATTTATTAAATGCTGATATGTTAATCAGAATAGTGACATCCTTACCATGCGAGGAAATATCATTGAGGGGTCGCTGCAAAATTCTTCTGGAACACATAAAGCTTCTCAGTACGATGACCACAATAATGTGCTCATTCTACCGTAACGTCTCGCTAGTTATGCTAGGTAAACTATGATTTCTAATTGTTTCCCCGCCATAAGGATGCATCCAGAAAAATATTATTTGCCAAATCTTACAGTAAAAACGATACTGTAGAACAAATACGTTTAATTAAGCGCCAATCAAGCTCCTAAGCAAAATTCCAGATGAATCTGTGACTAGGTATCGTACCTCTTAGATTGCTGGAGAAAATTATCACCAGAACTTTTTTCTATCAAGACCGCATATTTTTGAGATCCCTTAATATTACTGGTAGCATCAATCAAAATTTTCGATTCAAGCTGTCAAGTTCCAAGAGATAATGTTTGTCAAGGTGAAACTTCAACACTAAAAAATATAGTGTTGAGTAGAGCCAAATAAGGAAATATGTGGATGTGGTACAGTTGTCATTCGCCTTCATAACTCCTTTGCCAAAATTCGTTAGAATTCATTCTGTTTTGCAAAATCCGGTTTCGGCATCGGTCAATTTCAGTGGCTGAGTAACGTATTTGGAAGTGATCACTGCTCGCTACATATCACCACCTCAACTAGATCGACTTTTCCTCTCGACAAGCAGGATAAAAAAGACGATCTTAAGCAACTTTACATTCAAAGTCGTTGCTGCACCGATAACCGACGATACATTAAGTTAGGGAAAAACTGGGAACTCAGTGTTGATTTACGTCGAGTGCACGAATTTTTCCGGGCACCTTTTACTCGCGAACGGTCTACTAGCGAAGAATAGGATGACTGGTAGGCTGGTTTTGAACTATAAGCATTCTACAATGCTAACAAACAGCTCGCCTGAAGGAACTGTCCAGGGATATTTCAATAGTGAACCGGGAAGCATGCATCATTTATATTATGAGATAAACAGCGACTAATCTCGTATAATGCTTGCAATTTTGGTACTTAAACTTCCTTTCCACCGCTTCCTTAATCTTACGAAGAGGCTTTTTCCCTAATTCCACTCAGGCCGAAAGCGCCGCAGAAAGTAGGTAGAAGTAGCACTTTCTTAACAAAAATTTTGGTTCTCGAGTAATGCTAAATACACCGTCATATCCTTCCCGTAACGGTCAAGCCTTGTCTATTCGTAAAAGAAACCTATAAATCTGCTGTAATCATGACAGAAAAGCTGAGCTCGTTGGTTAGATCAGCGCTGCTCATAGAATGTCAGCGGACGCATTTCCCAGATTCTATAGCAAGCTGTTTTACAATGTTTCCTCTTGAATCAAAGCCAGGAATGTTCGAATTTGCTGTACAAATCTGTTGCAACGATAAAACATAACCGAGAAAGTTATACGATACAAAGAGTTAGACCAGACCATGTTATGCGATTAGTCCTTCAGTCAACCTATGTTTCGGTAATTCCTTGAAGTAAAGGGGAAGAGGGAATGCACGAAGCAAAGCTACTGAAAATAAATCTAAATGTGAGCCAAAGCTTCACTGAAGGTAATGAAAATGATTAACACATCTAACAAGGAAACACATACAAACTGAAGTGGCTGCTTACCGTGGAGGTGGGTATTACCGAGAGGTCTTTTGAAGAAAGGTTCTAAATTCGTCGCTAATGAGCTGGGTTTAAGATCTACTGCAGTAGGTTCGCCACCTCCTTTGTCCCTACACAGGACGCACAGCCTTATCTCTAGTTGTGATGGTCCTAATCCCCGCTTTGTGCTTTGTGCTTTGTGCAAATGTTCTGCAATTTCAGGAAATGTTTGCAAAATTAAAAGAGAATCTTTGTGTGAACTTATCTTCTTCTACCACTGCTATATTCAAGTCTTAAATTCTTTCTTTCATTCCTAATTCCAAGAAAGGACAATTATCAACGTTTCTAATAAAAATTTGTCTAAACAAAGGAAAGTTCTGCACGTCGTTTAGGCGGGCGGCGACGTACGCGAGGTCCAGATCCACAACTCATTGCCAGCTGAGAATTCAGCGGTCCATCCGTGCAACGAACACGTTAGCCCATCTGGTCGGTGGCCAGGACGTTTTGCTTCTCGAGGAATCCATTCCAGAGTTCTAGTGTCCATCTGTCGTCTTTCCTTCTCATTATATGACCAGCCCATCGATGCTTTGCCTTAGAGACGTAGTCCGCTGGATCGAGAAGACGAGACATTGATCTCATATTTGAACTGCGAAGTTTGACGAGATGTTGAGTACGTCGGTTGTACTTTAGAAGACCGTTTCAGCGCTCTGTAGTTCGAAGAGGCTTTGAGTAGCCACTGTGTCAGGCCACGTCTCTGCTGCGTAGCAGAGCGCAGGGAGAACAGTTGAATCAAACAGGTGGGCTCGGA